AGGCATCAGGCACATGGGTGGGTGTCTTAGTTGCTTTTCTCATTGCTGAGACAAAATGCTTAATGTTCAAAATTAAGGAAGGAAAGGTTTATTTAGCTCACAGTTTGTAGAGGTTTCAGTTCATAATCAGCTGGCTCTCTCTGAGTCATCTTGGGAAATTTGGAAGTTTTTGGAGGCATTTTGTTGCCTTGTCTTCTCATGTTTCTATTTTTTTTTTTAACATTCTTCTTTGTGCTGAGATTTAGGAGTTGATTACAGTGGAAAGCCTTTGTTGGTAGTGTGGCAAGATCTTTAGTTAGTGTCTGCTTTTTAGTGATGCACTTTGGTCATGGCTAATTATAGGCCTTTGCTTGTGTCCTGAGATCCAACCACCTCTGTTACTTTGGGAGGGGATGATGCAGTGTAACTGACCTGACACCCAGTTCTCTCAGGACAGACCTCAGTATTGTTCATGACACAAAGGCGATATACGTGGTGGCATGCAGAGAAAACCAATTAATATCTGCAACTGTGACACCTTGGCAATAACATTAAAATCAGCAACAATAATAGCATCAAAGACCAACTGGATATTGACATACCATAAGAACCAATAGTATACCATGTCTTTTCTTGACTGTAGAAAAGAGATTCATAATTATCATGTACTTACTTAGATATTGACATATAGTAAATATCTGCTAAGTGTAATAAGGATACCTCCACTAACTTTAGAAAAGAATTCAATGGTAATAGTGTAGAGTTAACTAACTATCTGAAGATTACTAAGGCTTAACAGTTATACTAACAGATGTAGAGGGGGTGGGAGAATGAATATGCATAATTTGAAAAGTTAAGCAATGGACAGTAAGAAAGAGGAGAGAAAAATGAGCTAAAGGATCCTATGAAGGAATGAAAGGAATAGAAAAGGACAGACATGAGAGAGAAAAAAGAAAAAAACAGAGCAAAAAGAAAAGAAGAAAAAAGTAAGTGCAAAAGAAAAAAACGAAAGAAAAAAAAAAAAACCAAGAAGAAAAATACATGAGTCCAAAAAAATTCCTGTGTATTTTTGGATGAGTAACTTCCTTCCAAGATCTGTAGTCTTGGATTCCAGTGTGTCCTTGTTTTCTCTCCCTAGCTTAATGGCCTTTGGGTTTGGGATGGCTTCCTGTTCCAGAGGCCCTTTTGTCCTTCTGCCACAGGCTGTAGCAAGCGTCCAGGAAAAGGCATGTCCTTGTGCACATTGGTAGATGGGGAAAGTAAATAGACCACTGAATTCTGTGCCGTAGGTAGATAGTGGGGTGGGGGTTGAAGCAGGCTGCTGGACTTAACACCAACACTTTCAGATCTGGCCACCACTGAAAACCACACATGCCTCACCTCGCTTCTTTCTCACCATGGAGGATGGGGCTCCATGTCCTTCCTGGCCTGAGTGTAAACTTCTCAAGGGGGTCGATATCCAGGCCACATCCTCTTCATGACTATCTCTTCTGTTGTCTCTCCCCAGTCACTGTGGTAAGGTAACAGTGGAAACCCTGAGGTGAAGTTGCTCTGTAGTTGTCCTGTGCCTCAGTCTTCAACAATTAATCCTTTCCCAAAATGGTTCCTGATGACACCCTCTCAAATGTGATGGGTGGTGCCCTGGATTATTTTTCTCCAATTCTAGCTGTCTTGTGAAAGGAGTCACTTTCAGATTGAAACCCCATGCTGTTTTTTTTTTTTTTGTTTTTCTCCGGTACCGGGAACCAAACTCACGACCTTGCGCATGCCAGGCAGGCGCTTTTGCTGCTGAGCTAAATCCCCAGCCCCCCCCCCATGTTGTTTTTGCAGTTCATAATATCTGTGGGCTTTTCACAGGGCTGGTGCACTGCTGGTCTGGTCCATTGCTTCTCCCTAGAGTTGCTGACCCTCTGGGTTTAACTTCTGTCCCTGGGCACTGGCCTCTTCCACAGTCAGGTTGACCTGTCAGTTGGTGCCCTCACGGACCCACACAAAGGGGAAACAAAACACAGAGTGGGCTGCCACTGGGCCATTTGCTGTCTCCAGGGTACAGAAATGGCTGGAGTCAAACATGGCTCAGGGTCTCCAGGTCCCCAGGCTGCCTCCCCCATAGCTGAGGTTTCCGAAAGCGTGGGTGGCTTACTCCCTCCCCATCAGCATGTTTTCACATAGTAAGTTCAAGCCCAGCCTGAATACATAAATGAGACCCTGTTCCAAAAACAAAAACAAAAACCAATCCAGAAGAACCTTGATGGGTTCAGTGCAGCAGAATCTATAAGGGCACGTTTTCCTGTGCCTGGCATTCCTCCAGTCCCATCACTCCTCCTGCCCTCCATACCTAGGGCCAGGCAGAACCTTTGCCACTAGCTGATACCTTTACTACCTCTTGAAGAGAGGACTTTCCCAGGCGCTGCAACCATCACTGCTTTGGACTTGGCCCTCCAGGGATGGAGCAAGCAGTGGAAAGCACTCTTGTTCTTTTGTCCTCCATCCTGTGGATGGCATCCCCAGATCATGAGAGAACATTGTGGAGAGCTGGAGCAGTTTTTTCCAGAGAGAAAGATGAAGGGAAGGAGAACAAAAATTTATCAGAGTTTTGATTTATAGTATAGATAGTGAGCTTTCTTTTGGGTATATAAGGTTTGGGTATATCCCCAAACCTTAGGGCAGATCAGAAGGGGATCCTTTGGTTTAAAGGATGTACAAGTTGAGGACCTGTAAATGTGCCTGACTTGGAGGTAGCTCCATCTGGTGTAACCCTGAGCATGATTCCCTCTTATCATTCTCCCAGAGTTACCCCTACATCTGGTATATAAGGTTTGCTCACAACACTGAAAGATTCATCTTCGTTGTGTGTCCCCGCCCCGTGAACTATTTTATTTCCACTTGACTCCAGGCCCCCAGGCTACCTACTCCTCTTCCTGGATTCTGCAGGAGTGGGGGATTCTGACCTGAGGAGTTTTCTAACAAAGCCACTGCATGACCTGGGGTGTGGCCCCAACACCTCCACCTAACTTTGCCTCTTGTGTCTCTCCTCTTGTGTGATTGTTCTGTGCCAGACAGTGTGGTGACAAATACTCAGCCTTTTAGAGTTGACAGCCACCTCTCCACACCCACTGTCACACTAGACTCTCCCATAGACAGAGGTAAGCAGGACAGGGCTGGTATATGCTTAGGGCTTGGACTGGCTCAGGCACATCTAGGGTGTTGATTCCGGTCCACATTGGTCCTCACTGCATTATTAGCTCCTCAGGAAGCTGATAGCTTTGTCCTGTGTAGAAAATTAGGTCAGCTTCAGACAGGCTAGAAAGGGCTTTCGGTCACTCTGGAGATGCTCAGGAGACAGCACCTTAGATAACTGGAGTGGGAATAAGCAGTGGCTCAGGCAGCTCTCTTCTTGCCAGGTCACCATAATGCCCTCAGCTTTTCTGCCAGGATGACCATGTGGCAGCCCCTAGTAAACACACTTGCAGAAAGACATGTAGCAGAGACCTACACAGCAACACATGTGCACACTCAGTGACACACATTTGTACACACATGAATACAGACATGAACACACATATATATGTATATCTACATGCACTCATGAACACATAGACACAGACGCATGTACACAGAAACCAAAAGGCGCAAATTCATCCACTGAGGAACAGATCCAGAGACACAGGCATGTACATACAGGCATCTCCATGCTCACACACAGACACAGACACGAGAGCACACATACACACAGGTCCACACGTGCACACACGCATACACACCTGCACAGAGAGAGATGCTGCAGCTGCACGGTGGCCCATGCTCTGGTAGCAGAGGGGAGGACAAGGGAGAGTGGGACCAAGAGCAATCAGGACTTGAGTCACTGGCTTGTTGTTCAGCCCTCCAGCCTGCACTTGGAAGGAAGGGGACTTGGACCAAGCCAGCAGAGTCATGGGGGCGGGACTGAGAGTATGGACAGCCAGCTAGATCCCCAGGATCCTCAGGCGGTAACCATCTCCCTCCTGTGCTGTGACCTGGGTCCCTGTTTTGGAGCAATGAAGATCAAAGCTGACAAAACAGCAGGCAGCAAACAATGGGGAATGAGCCAGCGTATGCGTAACAGAAAGAATAAAAGGAAAGGCTTGTTGGGAGGGGTTCTGGAAGGTGGACACTGTAGATGCTGAAGTCCACTGCCTTTTTATAGATTTTGGTACAAGGGAACAGGATGGGAGGCAGGGATCCTCCTGGCTGAGGTAGGTCTGTGATGTCCAGACTGTAGGCTTCTCCATTTGCATTTGACGTCCTCCAGGGCTTCTCCTGTGGGTTTAGGGAACTGTTCTTTCTCCCTTGCATTCCATTAGGGCCTGATAGTCAGTTTGCTTAAGTTAATTATTTGGGCCCTTTTTTGCCAACTCACCTAAGCCCTGACTTTTAGTTGACTTCAGGTTACCTTTCAGGACCTCTGCGCTGTCTACCTAACCTCCTCCATCTTCTGGCTTCAATGTGGAGACAGGTGTGAAGACAGGGTGCAGGAGCTGGGGTGCTGCAGGAAAACATGATGACTCACGGTGCAGGGGCTCAGGGCTGGGGCACCTTGTGGAGCTGTCTGGAGCAGGCCCAGACACTGTGTTGGAATTTGAAGGTCCAGAATGAATGTGGAGGGGCAGCGACTTCACTTTTGGTAGAAATAGGGGCCTGTGCTTAGGACAGTGACACCGTTCAGAGTACTGTGTATCAGGAGCAAGGTTGGCCCAGGTTCCTGGAGTGGGAGGAGCAGAGCACAAGGAGCCCGTGTTGTCCTCCTTCTGGCTCTAAATTCCAAAGTGGGTACTTCCCACTCTGATAACATTCTGCTGTGGACAAGGCAGGCTCAGAGCAAGTCAAAAGGCCCTCAGGATGGCCAATTACACAAATGAGCACCATCCATTCAGGGAGTCCAAACCAAACAATGCAACCAGCCCCACAGTGCAAGTTGGGGGAGTCTGCAGGCGAGGGTGGGCAGGTCCTGCCTCCAGGTCAGCAGTGTGTGATAAGCAGCAGTGGGAGACCAGGAGCTTTCTGTGGATATGGGGACCCTGCTGTTGCTCCTGCTGGCCATGGGCCTGAGCCTGCTGTCTGTCCAGGGAGCCAAGAGGCCTCTGATGACTCCTGCTGGTGCTGAGGAGGTAACGGCCCCAGGGCAGGGTGAGGCTGGGACCCGGGTTTCCTCGGTCAGCTCCTGGGCTACATGAGGTTCTCAGGTCTTTGGATGGGAGCTCTAGCTGGACATCAGCGGGTTGCTTTTTCTTAGTCCTTGGTAACTTCTGCCCAGCAGAAGAGGGGGTGATGAGAGACCCGAAGAGAGCAGGGAGTCTTTCTGCCCTCTGTGTGGGAGGTGCCCAGCTTCTGAGTGGCATCTTAGGGAGGCCTCCCCAGAATGTCCCTGGCCTGGGTCTTCTGGCCTTGCTGCCCAAGTGCATGCTTCCCCCGCTCTGTTGGCTCTGAGCCGCTCAGAATCTTCTTTCTTTTCAGCAGACAGATTGTATGCAGGATTTTCATTTCACAGAGAATCCCTCATTCTTGATGTAAATAAGGCCATGAATTGTCTGAGAACCTTTGACTTCAAGACACTGTGCTGTGTTTTATCACAAGGTTTCAGACATTGGAGGTGATGAGACAGCAACTCAGGCCCTTCACCGATGGATAAAGTACCTGGTCACAGTGCCCCTTGTCTTTGAGGTCCTCCTCCAGTAAGCTGGGCCTAGTGGTGACAACTGTGGTCACTGGATGAGACAGTGCTCCACTGGTGCAGTTTGCCAGCCACACATTATTGGTTAATCTCCTTGTCCACTCTAACCCTGGTCTTGTCTTCCTGTCTCATCCTCCTAGACATAGGAGTTCAGGCTGGCCTTTTGCTGCCTTTTCTCAGCTCTTTGTTGGAGGTGTGTGAAGGGCCCCTGTCAGAGATCCTCACAGCAGGTGTGTAACCCAGGAGGGCTCCCGCCCTGGCCTGCCTGGCTTAGCTCCCTGCAGCAGTGCTATGCTGTGCCTCAGGTCCCTCTCTCTCCTTGAGGGTCCCAGGCTTCCCCACCCTCCACTGAGTCTCTCAACGAGGCTCTCATCGTTCTGCTGCTCCCTTTTTGGCTCCAGCCTGCATCTCCTCCTTCTGAATTCCCCCTGCCTCTCACAGCCTGCTCAGGGATGACTTCTTCTCTCCAGCTTTTAGGAACCTGGCACATAATACGCTGGGCGGGAGACCTACCTATGCCCGCAAAAACACAGACCCAACCGCTGCCTCCCCTCAGGTTCATCAGAAACAAAGACACAACATTTAAGTTAAGGATGAACTTCAGGTTAGTACTCTGCATGCAGACCCTAACTCCATGCCCGGTTCCTGGCCCTCCAGCCCCGTTTCTCATCTCCCACACCACCCCTGTCACAGCTGGTCACCCTAACCGAATATGGTACACTTTCCTGTCATCTCTGCAATGTGCCTGGTGACCTCCATGACAAGGGAAGTGACGTTCACGCTGACACCGAGCTTAGCATGGGAGGCCAGGGCACACACTGGCTGCATTCTGTGGGGCTCACCGTGACCCCAGCTTTGTAGCGCAGCACTGCTCGGTCCTGAAGAAGCCCACTTCTGTGTTCATTTCATGCAGAGACGGAGCATCCAGATCCTTCAGGGTTTTGTTCTAGGTTCCAGGTCAGTAAAGGCAGGACTATCATCCTGGAGACCTTTTAGAGAAACAGTGGGGACCCAGGGGAGGACCTGGCCTCCTTGATGGGAAATTACCTGAGGTGGACAGGGTGCCAGGCTGCCTTGAACTCACAGTGTGGACTGTCATTCTCTGTAAATGCCCAATGTCTCCCCTGCTGGTTCCACCTGGAGCACACCGGGCCGGGATGGAGGGTGTTATGGTTTGTGTCTGGGTGTCCCCTCAAAGCCTCATGTGGTCATGGGGCAGGCTTTTAGAGTTTGATTGATTATGGATGTGAGAGCTACACCCATCTTGGGGTAGATAGTTTGCATATGTAAGGGAGAGGAAGAGGCTGCTTGAGGCCATTCCTCCCTTGTGTGTGCTTGTTGGTTTGCTGTGTTCTGCCACCATAAGCTGTAGCCCTCTGCCATGTGCCACTCTGCCTTGTAACCTGCCAAGTATGGACTGAAACCTCCACAAACTGTAAGCGAAATAAACCTTTCCTTCCTTCATTTTGGGCATCAGGTATTTTGTCCCAGCAACAAGAGAAAAGTAACCAAGACAGAGGGTTCATGGCAAGTCATGCTCTGGGGGCTATGGTCAGCTGTTATAAAGAAATACTGGCCAGGAAGTAATGGGCCTTATCAACAGGAACATGATAGGAGACTGGATGGTTCAGAGATCCCAGTCCGGGCTATGTGAGGTCTTTCTTGGGCTGGTGCTCCTGCTGGGTGCCTTGGGTACTATAGAAGGTACCACTGAAGCCATTCTGGGCATCCTTGGGCACCCGAAGGTCAATGTTCTGGGGACTCTGGGTGCAGAGCTAACTTTGAGGTATCATGCTTCAGGAGGATGGAGGAGTCAGAGCTCACTCTGGGTATTCTGTGGGAAGGAGCAGGGAATGTTGAGCAAATGTCTAGGTGGAAGAATCATGTTTGGATCTTATGTTTTAGGTTTAGAAGTGTGTGCCTTCCTTTTGACATGCACATGGATGAGTTCATTATCCCTGGTGCCTTCTACTCCGGTAAGTGGCTAGATGTGAATTCTTTCAGTAGAGCCCATAGAAAGAGATTTGATGATTACAAGCTTCCTTTCTCCTGCAGCAAAAGGGTATTTCATCTCCATCCACTTCCTGCCAGGGAAGGAATATGCCATCTCCTTCTACAAGGGTACGACAGCCTATGTTTACTACGAGAGCATGGAGCTCATAGGTGCGTTCCAGCCCTTTCTTGGTTTTGGAAGCTAGTCATGGATCCCTGAGACATCAGGCAAAAACAGGGTGCACCTCCTTCCTGCCCAGGTGCTTGCAGTTCCCACTCTTGGAGCCATCCCTGGGATTCCTGGATCTTAGTAAAAGTAGAAGTTGTAAGCCCTTGGCCTGTCTCATTGTGAGCTTTCTGATACCAACCCTGGTACCCGAGGCCCATGTCCATCATGACCCACCTGGCCTTGGCCCCGACTCTGTCCACAGTCAGCCATTGGTGTGAACAAGCTCTGATCAGGGGACATAGTGGAGCTTCTCTGCCCCTGGGACATCGGGCAACATCTGGAGACATGTGTTAATGTCATGATGGTGGGGGGAGGTCCCGTCACCTAGACGGCCGAGACCAGAGCACCACTCACACCTGCTCCACCCAGGACACTGACCACAGAGAGTACCCTGCCCCCAAGGTCAGCTGTGCCCATGTGGAGCCCCTGAGCTTAAACTGGCACCACCGCGAACCTGTCAGAGCCTCCCCTGATCCCTGAGACTTTTGGTTGTCACCACCCTTTCTTGCCTATGCCAGAGCTCTCTTGTGCTTCTTCTTCCTGGTATGGAGCCTCCCCTCAGGGTCTCTCCTGACACTGACCACCTCCTTCCACCCTCCATGTGCTGCCACCATCTACCACCCCTCTCCTTAGCTCTCTGGGAGGGTTTGGTCCCACAAGTTCCCAGGGCTCACCTGAGTGGGGGATCAGGGTGGAGTAGGGCAACATGGACAGGATCTTCACTACCTGCTCACTGGTACCTTCAGGTCATGACTATGGACCTCAGGGGTCCTTGGTGCTGCTCAGACTCTCGCCAGTGTCCCTGGGTCACTTCCTAACCCTTTTTTTTTGTAATTCAACTTCTCCTGTCCATCCTATCCTTCAGGTTATCCCTGTTTGACCTGGGAGGACAAACCTCCATTCTGAACAGGGTCGGTTCACAGGGCACAGACTGCCCTCTGCAGAATTTGAGCTGAGGATGAGAGAGGCCAAGAACTTACAAGTTACATTCCCAGTAGGCCGTCTCCTACTGGGAATCAGAAATCCCAGGAATGGCTCCCAGCAGAGGGAACCGGGGAAGCTGGCCAGGAAGGCAGCGTGCCTCACTGCTGTGCAACTTGCCATGGACAGTTCTGGGGTGATGTGCAGGTTGCAGTTCAGGAGGGGTTCCAGGTGTAGCCTTTGAGGTCCCTACAGGGTGAGGCTGGAACCAGAGACTCTGAGGGGAACTGGGAGAAGCCCCTCTTTCTCTTTTACTTGGGGACCTTACTCAGGGGAGCCATCCAGGTAGGACGAGTCTTTTTGCGGAGCTGGGGACACACACTAATGGGGCCAGACTGGGAGATCGGGTTCTGCTTAGGAGAGGATGGAGGGTAGGGGATTGGCACTGATATGTGAGTCCTTTTCACTTTGCTTTTCCAGCTGTTACACTCACGGCTGTCCTTTGGGGGTGGCAGAGGGAGGTGTCCCTGAGCCCAGGACACACCTGTGTAGGAAACTGTACATCTGTCCTCAGCTCCCTGGGATCAGAGTAGGTGGGAAGCACTTCCTGTGGAGCCTTCAGAGAGGGAGCCACGGGAGGGGCAGGGGATGTTGTCGCCGTCACAGGAACTCACTCCAGTCCTATGACTCGCACCCCACGCAAAGGGCAAACACGATTCCTGAGAGAGGCTCTCAGCCGGCTGGCTCCTTCTCAGGTTTGGGCTGGGCAGGCTCACTTCTTAGGTGTTCCTGGGGCAGCAGGCTTGAGTCCGCTCAGTACCTGAAGGCCTGGATAGACACAGCAGTGTTGGGCCTAGAAAGAGGGCAACCAACCCGGCACCCTCCAACCCTAAGTGGCCTGTGGACTCTGCCTCAAAACCGCTACCTTAAACCAACTGGCCTGCAGGGAGCACCTTGGATGAAAGCCCAGATGTGCTAAGGACCTTTGAGGAGTATGTGGAGTGGAAAGGGCACCACAAAACCGAGATCATTGACCCTCCTGAGCTTGGTAAGGAGAAGGGATTTCCCTTTCACTCATGACTTCCACTTGCTGGAGGATGTATTTCTGGCGTGTGATTCCTAGTGTCCTATAGGGACGCATAAACACTCCTCCACATACATGATATTTTTCTGGGGCTACAGAGCCCTGTGAATACCACAGAGAGGTGTAAGGAGACAGAACTGCAGAGACTGCCCGGGAAGGAGGATTTGTGGACCATGCTGCCCTCCACCAGCTGCAAGCAGAACTCTTCCTGCAAGAGAAACCAGAGCCCAGCACCCACCCCTCCCCAAGCCTATTCCATCAATAAAGCTGCTTGATGTCCCTTGGGCATGTGAGTGACAGGGGCTTTGTCTCACCCAGACATGAGAAGCGCTCATCTGTGACCTCAGCGATCATGGAGCAGGGAGTCTGCGTCACACTCACAGCTCCCTGCACGCAGGTGGCTGCCGTGCGGCAGGGGGAGCGCATGTGGCTCAGTCTGTACTGGTGTTTGTGAGGGGTGGAAAGGGGAGGGCGGGTCACGGCACGGCAGCCTTAGAGTCAGAGTGTGGGTAATTCCAGAGGTGTGACCACCTGGGTGGTCCCAGAGGCCAGCTACCTGGGTCATGGCCTAGGTTTGTGGGCCCACAGAAAAGGTGGGACCTGGGGTCTCTGCAGGTGAAAGGTGGGGTTGCAGGTGAGGCCTGTATTATGTTTAGGAATTAGCTCACCTGGGAGGCCCTGCCCTGCAGGGCAGTGAGACCCCGATGTCAGAGCATGAAAAGTACAGAAAAGAAGAAAACAAAAATACCCAGAACTGAGCTCGGATTCAAAGGGACGAGAACTTGCCTGTCCAGAGTAAGTGTCCCAACACGTGACGTCCAATCCTTCTGTACAGTCCTTCCTGTGGCTGGTTATTTACATGAAGATCCCCACATCCCCTTCTGAGACCACCTACCCAAATCTCAGGGAAGCAGGAGGCTCTGCTTGATTCACTCAGGACAGGGTGGGTGTGAGTGTGGACGGGGCTCCTGAGGGGCCGGCCTGCTTGATCAGAGACTGGAGCGGTTTAAAGGTGGCTTCTCTGGTTCCCAGCCCTGTGTACAGAGGGATCCCTGGCGAGGAAGCCACAGGGAATGTGCTTGTGTGAGGAGAGGAGAGGAGGGGTGGGGACCCAGAGGACGCAGCCTCCACACAGGAAGAGCATCTCCATGGACCAGGCTGGGTGTGTGTCCTGCTGGCTGGTCACAGACCCCCAGAGTCTTCTGTTTCCACTGCATTTTCCTCTGCTGCTGTCCCTCATGGAGGGCTGTGGCAGGGTAAATAGGCATCTGTGACCGTAGGGTGAACCCGTGCTAGGAATTCTGTTTCTGTCCTTTGCCACTGAGGGTGGAGGGTGGTAGAACCTTTTCTTGTGAAGCCTTTGGAATATGGAGCCATGTGTGTGTGGGGGAGGTGGTTAGGGTCCTAGGAGGCTCATTTTTCGGGGTTTGTGTCCAAATGAGACTCCGGTGTTGTCTGTGTCCTGAGGGTTGGTTGGTTTATGTCAGTGGGCTTTGAGGTTCTTTCAGGCACACGGCTCTTGGCAGGAAATCTTCTTGATGCCCTGGCCATCCCAGGACAATGAAGTCCCTAGGTGGTGGGCAGTCCTAGCCCGTGGATGAACACAGAACACTGGAAGGAGGCTGTTTGTAGGGAGGAGCCCAATTTAGATCATCCTATGACTGAAGTGAGTGAGGTCAGGGCTTGCCTGTCTCAAGGGAGTCACCCTCCTGTGGTCACAGAAAAGATAAGATTCCCCAGCGCTGGACCCTCTGGGCAACATTTCTCCTTTGCAGCTGGTACAGTGTCAGGCATTGTCAGTAGAGGGCGCTGCGGGCACTGAGAGAAGGGGCTTCCCTGTAGATTCCCGGGTCTTCCTCTCTCTGGCTTGCAGTACTTGACCGGCAAGCGGGACGCCTGTGGAGCTCATCACAGTAAGGGCGCCACCTGGCGGACAGCTTTGCAGAGGACTCTGCAGGTCTCCTGCCCACCAGCCCCGACCTCCGCACACCTCTGTGCTGCTCCATAGGCCCAGCCACACCTTCTCCAGGCGGCTGGACCCCTCCCATGTTAGTTCCTCCCGCGAACTCACCCCCTCAACCCTGCTCAGACTTGTCTTATCTCTGTGTTCTTTAGAGTTCTGTTTGCGCTTGAGCAGGCTTTGCCCTGTTTCTGGTTAATAATTCCTTGTGTTAAACACTGGCTTTCAAATCTGTGTGTACTCGGTGTTTCCGAGCTCGCTACCCTGTTGGACCCAGCTTTCATTGTCCACGTTCTGGTGCTTGACGTCTGGAGCCTTGCTCACTGTGGAAGCTCGTCCCTCCCGGATTCTGCTCATTCCTAGAGCTAGCAATGCCTTGTCTGTGAGCATGTCTTTCATAAATAAGCTAACCAGTCCTCAGCCTGTACTACCAACCACCTCCTTTACAACGTTCTCACACGTGTCTACTGTCAGTGTGCTGTTCGCAGCCCAGGGCCAGAGGTCAGACCTCAGGAGCAACCTTACACCTCAGATACTGCTGAACTTATCCCAACCAGCCACTTGTAAGCTTGCTTACTCCGCCTCTTCTATTCCTACCTGTAGGGCATGCAGTGATACACTTGCCTACATTTCTCTGCTAACTGTAAGTCCCCTGACTGGTCCTGATGCTCCCTGGGGGTTGTGTGCAGCATGTAACCCACTTCCTGTTTCCAGGGATCTCTGAGTATAGTACAGATCTTCCACTGCCATCACCCCAAAACCTGAATCTCCCCAAACCTGAAAAACAAACACTTCCCCGTGCACATTCCTTTCTCTGTATGTTGCTAAAACAGTCCTAGATTTTCTGCTTCTCTGAATCAGTCCAGAAGGCTGGATTGCAGTCTCTGAAGCATTTTACTCGGGCTGCCCATGCCAATTAGCAAATACAGGATGGAAAAAGATGTTATTCAGTAATTTTTGACAACAGGGAAAAGAACTGAGCTCCATTCCAATTTGTGCTTGGGTGAGTGGACATTTAAAAGGGACAGCCAGGGATGAGAGAAAGAGGGCTTAAGTGAACAATGACAAAGGCTTGGACGGTGTGAATGCAATTAGTCCGCTTGTGCCTGCTGGTGGCAATTAGGGAAGTTAGGACTCTGTCCTTCCATAAAGACCAGGAGGTGAAAGCCACATCTTCTGATGTTCAGATTTCAAATGAAAGGATTTCAGGTTCTTTGACAGGCACTGAGAGCTGGATACATAAGCCTAGCTGTAAACTCTATTCAGGAGATGAGCTAAGAAAGGGAGATCAGCAAAGCAGGAGGCTTCACAGTCCTGGATGTAGTTATGTTATACAGCTACAGTGATAATAGCAGAATTCTGGCACAAAACCAGATATATGGATTAATGGAACAGAATAGAAGATGCAGAAACAACCCAGACACATTCATTCAGTCACCTGAACTTTGACAAAGGGGCCCAAAAATATATGCTCGAGGAAAGACAGCCCCTTTAGCAAATAGTGCTGGGAAAACTGGCAATACACATGCAAGAAGTTGCAAGTGGCCTATTTCCCTCACCTTGTACTAAACTAAAATCAAAATGGTTCAAAGATCCGAAGATTAAAATGGAAACACTTAATCTGCTGAAAGATAAAGTTGGTAAAGCTCTTGAAATCTTAGGCATAGACAGTCTTTCTGAGCAGAACCTCAATTGCACAAGAAGTAACCAAGAATCAACAAATGGTGTTATATAAGGTTAAAAAGCTTCTGGAGTTTTAAATTTTGATGAAGTACAATTTGTCTATTTTCCTTCATCTTCTTGTTCTTTGTGGTCATTGCTTTAGTCACTTTTCTTGTTGCTAGGACAAATACCTGACACCCACAACTTAAAGCAGGAAAGCTTTATTTTGGCTCACAGTTAGTTTATGGTCAGCTGGTTCCAGTACAGAGAGACATGACAGAAGGTCCTGGGTGGAAGAAAGCTGCTCATGGCAGCCAGGAAATGGACAGCAGACAGGAGCCAGAGAGGGAAGTATGTCCTTCCGGGCCACTCCCCCAGTGATCCATCTCTAACCAAGCCCTACCTCCTAACAACAAGTCAGCTGTGGCACCCCCATAATCCAATCACTTTCCCAAATCTGCATCTGTGAGTGTATGGGATCTTGGGGGAAATTTAGACCATAACATTCTTCCCTGACCTCCAAAAGACTTGTGTGCATCTCTTTATGCAAAATACATTTAGTTCATTTCTAAGAGTTGTCAAACTCTTAACAGTTCCAGCTTTGCTGAAAAGTCCAAAGTTTCCTCTGAGACTCAAGGCAAACTCTTAACTGTGAGCTCCTGTAACAATACAAAAAAATTTAAACACTGCCAGCATGACAGGGTACACATTTCCATTCCAAAAGGGAGGAATAGGGGGATAGAAACCAATGAGACAAAAGCAAGTCTGAAATAAGAGAATGGCAAATATTAAGCCCTCTAGTTCCATGTCCAGCACTCAGTGCAAGTTGTGGTGAGATTCAAATTAAAAATGACTTGTGTATATCCACCCCTATGTCACTGCCTGCTGCAGTCCCTGTAGCCTCTCTTTTGGGAGAGTCAGCTCACTGCCTGTCCCTTACCTTGCAGATATTTTATATTCCTGGCTTCTCTAACATCCTAGGGTCTCAACTGTGTTTTTTCAGCTTCATGCTCGGAGACTCACACATTACCCTCTCAGGGCCACACTGCCTGTCCTCACAGGCCTTATTCTGAAACATGGGTGGAAGCTTCCCTGATCCGACAATTCTTGAGTTCTGCATGACATCAAAACCAGCACCATGTAAATGGTGCAAAACTCTGTCTCCAGCTTGAGCAGTAGCCGGGTCCCATTGAATAATGGGTGTGGGGTGTCTGAGTGCCTGGATTGCTGAGCACTGTGAAATGGATCCCAGAAAACCATTTCTTACATGGCCCATTTGGAGTAAGGTGTCCTAGGACTCTCTTCTTATAGCAGTCTTTCACTTTTGCCCCTTTTAGCTTGAAAATTGTTGAGTCTTGGTTATTCCCAGGATGCCTTCAAACTATCTTTACTATTGATCTGATGCAAAGTTCTTGGCTTCTTTTTAATGCTAATCTTTTCAATCACCATGTTCTCCTCTGCTACATCTTACAGGCTTTTTCTTTCTGGCAAAATTAAAAACATTTTAAATGAAACTTCTGCTCTTGGTTTTCAGTATAAACCTTCTAAAAGCTGCCAGCAGTGTCCATACTGCAGTTTGAAATTTGAGAGGTATTGAAATTTCTGCCACCAGGTTAATTATTGTGCCACTCTTAATCTCAGTCTCCTGCAAAGTCTCA